CATGACTGGGAGGGCTCTATCTGTAGGTCCTCTGTGACTAAGATTAAAAACCCCATCCCATGTCGTAGGGGGTCACTGACCTTGCTGTCTACTCCATTGCTATAGGTTTTCCGCCAAACGAGGCATGGGTCCATTGTAGTCATAACGATGCGATGGAACACGGGCTATGTATGGTGGATTAATGACTTCAGGTTCGGCGTCGAGTCTTATTTTCCCCCCTCTTCATAATCTTCTTCTTCTTGTTCCTCCTCGGGATCCTCTACGGCATCATCTTCAATCCATCCACCATTTCACTGATTAAGGAAATAGAGGTCTCCAGGTAAGTGAAATCATGCCATAATGTCAGGGAGTTCGTGGAAAATACCACGTACATGACATTGATTAAGTTGCAGACCAATGTGAGGAGTAGAGAGATCGAGTTGGAGACTCAGGCTAGGGAGGAGAGGAAGACCCAGGGGAGAAACAGAAGGCCAGTACAGTCGCATTCGTCGACTAAGCAGGCTAAGCGTGCTTATTAGAGATCTGGAGGCTAGAAAGGCCACATTTGCAAGAAGTGCGTCAAGGTTTACAAGGGACCCTATCGGTCCGGGTCGACTTGCTACCTGTGTGGCAAGGAGGTGCATATGGCTAGGGAATGCCCCAAGGGATTTTGGGTTTGTTTTAGCTGCAACTAGATGGATCACGTGAAGGTCGATTGTCTACAGCTTTCATCGAGGGTAGTTCAGACTCCCGCCCCACTAACACTACGTATCACTGATGGCCGGAAGGGAAAGGTTAGGGCATCGAGGGCTCGGGGCAGAGCATTTCAGTTGATAACAGATAAGGCCCATGCAACTCCAGATGTGATTGTTGTTATGTGTTTTATTTATATATATTTATGTTGGCTTATTTTTTTATGCTTATATTGTCGATTGTATTCGTATGTTCCTTGTGAATTTTGTGTCTGCGCTTATCTTTTTTGACCCAGGTGCGAGTCAGCCTTTTGTGTCATCATCTTTTAATCTCAGTTTTAGTATTCTTTCAGAGATCTAGAGCAGGCTCTTGAGGTTCTCGATGCCTGATGACCATCCTGTCTCAGCTACTGATGTCTATCGGGGTTGTGTGTTATAGATTTTCGATGTTGGATGTCCGATAGACCTCATCCCTATATTGATGGGGGATTTTTGTGTGATCGTGGGTATGGATTGGTTGAGCCAATTTGGGGCTCTGATTGACTGTGAGCGTCAGCTATTGATAGTTTGGGATCTTAGTGGGGGAGTGTTGACTATCTCTGGCAAGGGTACTTAAGCGAGATCAGCCCTCTGTTCTACCGCTAGGGAAAGACAGAGTTTACAGCATGGGTGTGTGGGTTTTATGGAATATGTAGTGGATACTCGAATTGAGAAGAAGGGATCGACTTCTGTTTCTAATGTTCCGTTGGTATGTGACTTTCCTAAAAAAAATTCCCAAGGAGTTATTGGGTGTACCTCCTGAGAGGCAGGTAGAGTTCCCGATCGATCGGATTCCATGTGCGGCGCCGATCACCAAGGCACCGTATCGTCTTGCACCTTATGAGATGCAGGAATTATTCTCTTAGTAGCCAGAGCTATTGGGGAAAGGGTTCATTAGACTGAGCAGTTCTTTATGGGGATCCCCGATGCTTTTCGTCAGGAAGAAGGATGGTTCACACCGGATGTGCATTGATTATTAGGAACTAAACAAGCTGACGATGAAAAACCATTACACTTTGCCGAGGATAGATGATCTCTTTTCCCATCTTCAGGGAGCATCTTGGTTTTCCAGGATAGATTTGAGGTCCGACTATCATCAGATGAGGGTACGGGAGGAGGATAATCAGAAGACGGCCTTTTGAACTCCTTAAGGGCATTACCAGTTTGTGGTGATGCGTTTTGGGCTCACTAACGCACCAGCAACATTCATGTACCTCATCAACCGGGTGTGTATGCCCATGTTGGCTCGATCTCGTGAGGCAGAGCAGTGTTGGGACTTCACCAAGATTGTTGTTCCTCTCACCAAGTTGACCAGGAAGGATGTTGCCTTTAGTTGGGGGCGGAGCAGTAGGCATCATTCGAGACTCTTCGCCATAAGTTGTGCAAAGCCCCAGTGCTTGCTCTCCCGAAAGGGAGTTGAGGATTCCATAGTCTAATGTGATGAATCCATTACGGGATTGGATGTTCTGTTGATTCGGAAAGAGCATGTGATAGCCTACGTTCCGAGGCAACTCAAGCCTCACGATTTGAGGTACCACACTCATGATTTAGAGTTAGGGGCGGTGCTTTTCTCCCTCAAGATTTAATGCCACTATCTCTATGGTATTCGGTGTACCATCTACACGGACCATAAGAGTCTAAGATATCTTATGGATCAACCTAACTTGAATATGAGACAAAGCAGGTGTTAGGACTTAATGAAGGACTATTATTGTGAGATCTTTTATCATCTAGGAAAGGCCAATGTGGTGGCCGATGCCTTGAGCCGGAGGGCGGCAAGTACCCCGATGCGAGATGTGTGCATGAGGATAACCATGATGACTCCAGTTTTAGATATCATCAAGGAAACATGGATGCAGGCTTTAAAAGAGGAAAACTCGAAGAGTGAGTGAGTGATCGGTCAGATTTCGGCATTTGATACGGACAATAGAGGGATTTTGACTCTTCTTGGGCGGGTATGGGTACCGTATGCAGGTGGGGTTCGAAGGATTTTGATGGAAGAGGCCCACAAATCGAGGTTTTCTATCCACCCGGGTGCCACAAAGATGTATCTTGATCTGAAGCATAGTTATTGATGACCATGTATGAAAAGAGATATGGCATGGTTTTTGGAGTGATGTTTGACTTGCTGCAAGGTCAAAGCAGAGCATCAACGCCCTCATGATAAGTTGCAGCCTCTAGAGGTTCCCTATGGAAATGGAAGTAGATTAATATGGATTCCATTACGAAGCTATCGAGGACTGCAAGTTAGTCTAATGTTAAGGGTTAATCATAGTCTAATGTTAAGTTCAAATTAGTGTGCCGGTTAATATTGAGCCACAGATTTCTCGATTTGAAGTTACTGGAAGGATATGCATTGAATAAGGGTGGAAAGTAATTTAGCTTTTATTAAAAATGCATCCAAGAATTGCCACATGATAAAAAGACTCTTTTATTATAATAGCGATATGTTTATTGCTTTAAATTCTTTGTTCTTTTTTAATCATGATTATGGAAAATGCCCTGTTAAGCTACAAATGACTTAGTCTCTTAAAAAATTGCCAAAGTTTGCTTCTAACTTTCTGTATCTCAGTATCATATATTCATAATTATTTTGCATATTAAGGGTTAATCATTAATGAGAATCTATGCAGATAATGAAGCCTAGACAAGTACAAGTTGCACGTATTCCTGGAATGTTTCGCATGTTACAAAAATGTATGTATTTATATCATCTTGATCTATAAAAACCACTTTACCCAAGTCAATTTCATATAATTTCTTGTAAATCCTACATTTTATATGTTAGTATATTATCAAAAAAAGTTGATTTTTTGGTGCTGCTCGTATTTACATCAGAGCACCAATAGCATACAACAAGGCAGAAACTTAGTCATTGTTTACACTTTACACCAGGTAATCACCCTTGACAACATCAACAGAAATAACAGCAAATGCTTATGTTCAATCAATGGGAAAACATGTTTTTTTTTCTTCGTGCTTCCAAGATTATAGAATTACTTTTTACATGCTAATATTTGGTTGTCTCGGTTAGACTTTGGTGGCTCCAATACCACTTTATTTGTTTCTTTTGAAATTATGTCATTTTTAACAATTTACATTATTAAAATGTCTACTCATCGTGTTAATATTACTACAAATTGTAGTTTGTACACTTTAATAATTGTAAATTTGCTTAATAAAGATATTGTAGTGACTACCTTCTGGTATTATATCCTTTAACAACCTCCCTCTAGTTTATAATGATTACAAACACAATAGGTCATTACAACTTATACTTCTTAACCACATTATATGGATTCTCGTTGGACAGACATATGGATTATTGATTGATGCAACTCATTTAATCTCTATGCATTTGAATAAGTCATGACATTCCATGCAATAAACTTGTTAATTTCTCGATTATCATTCCAACTCATTTTTTTCATCTCAATTGTCGACGTACATTTTTGGTAAACGACTATACTCATATTCTGACATATGTAAGTGACGTCGCACTAAGGAGCGGATGACACAAATTGAACATTTGGTGGTTTGGGCTAATTAGATGGGCCCAAGCCTTTGTAGACTACTAAGTAGTAACGAATCGTATAGGTCTTAACAAATCCATCAATCTTCTTAGAAGCCCAACTAGTGATCGGTGGCCTAAGGGTAAGATGTTAAGAATTAAGACCCATGAAAGTACACTTTTTGTAGACCTCATATATTCCTTCCTGATCACAATCTATGTCAAATTACATAATTACCCTTGGGATCCTACTTCCTCCCTGTTGCCACCTATGGCCATGGGCCTAAACAAGATTTCTTTTTGGAAGTTTCCAGGTAGTAATCAAACTCTCACGCACGCACACTCATGACTCACCGATATAAAAGAGGAAAGCTAAAATATCCCTTCAAATCTCTCACTCAACCCCCCTAAACCAAAAAAAATCTTTTTCAAGATTTCTTCAAGCCAATATAACTAAGAAGCATTTAATCCACTCGTCAATAATGTCAAATTGGTGCTACATGTGACGTATGATATGGGTAAGCTAAATCTTTAAGATCTGGGTTTAATTGCATTTTCCTTATATTTATTAAAGTGGGTTTCTTGTAATATCAGCTAAACACTATTTGAATCGCTTGTTTATTGAGTTTATGAATTGGGTGTTGATCCAAGAACATGCTCACCAATTAAAAACCCTTTCTTGACACTTCACACCCTTCAAACACACACACACACAGAAGTTTTCTCCAAGAAAACTCTTCCAAACTTGATGATTGTTGTAGCATTTCATATCTACTAACATGCGCCGGATCAAACCCCTCATCAAACAAAACCTTTCTCCTTTTTCTTCTCCTCCCAGTAACCATAAATCTCACTCATCTATAATCTTCGCTAGAAACAGTGTGATTGTATTGGGAGTTGTGTTCGTCATCTGTTGTTTACTTCACTTTCTTGCAAGATACCTCATGAAGAAGAAAAGATCGTCATCATCTTCAAACTCTCATCATCAATCTTCAAGATTTCAAGAAAGTAACGATAACGATGATGTCGCCTACGAGAGGCAACTACAACAGCTCTTCCATTTACATGATTCTGGTTTAGACCAAGCTTTCATTGACGCTCTCCCATTGTTTCTTTACAAAGAACTAATGGGGTCAAAAGAGCCCTTCGATTGTGCAGTTTGTCTTTGTGAATTCTCAGAACAAGATAAGCTAAGGTTGCTACCTTTATGCAGCCATGCTTTTCACATTCATTGTATCGACACTTGGTTGCTTTCAAATTCGAGTTGTCCTTTATGCAGAGGTACGCTTTTTACTCCTGGATTTTCGGTTGAAAATCCAGTCTTCGACTTCCATGATGATTCAAGGGAAGAAGATGATCATGTGTTAGGGGTATCTTGTAATTTTAAGCAATCTGGAGGGGGGAATGAAAAGTGGGTGTATCCGGTTAGACTTGGCAAGTTTAGAGCCACAAATGGTGAGAAAAGAGATGAGAAAGAAGTGGGGGAGACTAGTAACAGTAATCTTGATGCAAGAAGGTGCTTTTCAATGGGATCTTATGAGTATGTGGTGGGAAACTCGGAGTTACAGGTGAGATTTTGCCCTAGTAGGGGTAATATTGGAAAAAAATATTTGGGTATTGAGAAAGATAAGGGGAATAGCTCAGTTGACGGGGGTAGTGATGGAAAGAAAATTAGTAGTAGAAGCAAAGGTGAAAGCTTTTCTGTATCCAAGATTTGGCTTTGGTCAAAGAAAGATCAACATAAATTTCAAGACTCTTTAGTACCCATATGATTAGTTCTGGAAAATGTAAGGTTACCATCAGAAAGTTGAATCCTAGTAATTTTCATCGTTAGTTTAGTTCATTGTTTATGGTAAAGTGACTTGTACATCATGCTGAGAGAGTTGTATAATTGTTTGAATGTGGAAGTTTGGGCCAAGTAATCATCAAGTATTGATTATTTTTTTATTATCTTTTTTTTTCTTGTGATCTTGCTGAATGATTTTGTGTTATTATATATGGCTTGCTTTATTGAACATGACAAAGTGTGCTCAAAAAACATTATTTTATTACTGAAATTTGCTTCTCTTTCCCTCCCAAAACATTGTGAATATTATTATATTAGACCCAATGCACTGCCAAATAGTGTCTATTCATATGTTTACTTGACCCTTCGATGAGAACTGTATTCCCTCATTTAAGTGGACCAAGTCTCTTTATCTTAGAGATTTAATCCAAAAAAGAGTTATGCATATAAAACTTGGTTGATGTGTGGTCCTTATACGTTCAAAGAGGTACCCCCACCCCACTCCCGGGGCGGGACGAGGGAGGGTGTAAGGAGCCCGATCAAATGATGAAACTTCTTGGCTTAATGCAAAATTTGGTGATCTCCGATCATAGGGATAAGGGCTGATAAGAATAGGATCTAGGAGGTGATTTCTCGGTTTTCTTGGGTAGGTAACTAATTGACAAGAGCCCCCTAGTTTATGTGAACACAAACAGCATCCCAGTGTCTCGTTGTGGGAAGTGGTTGTTGTCATTTGTGGTGCCTTCCACGATCGAAAACGACCAATCAATACTCTTCCTCCTTGACCCATTGATTAGCCGTCGAAAGGCTGAAAATTTTTAAAAACAAATAAATAAATAACCTTACGTATGTAAGTACAGCATTTAAATAAATCTTACGTACATTTTAAACCACATTTAAACCATTCATTTCTTGTACTCTCTAAAAAAATCATATTTATGAATTTTTTTTTTACAAATTTTGATTCAGATGACGACGGATAATTTATCTCGACATTCTTTAATGTTGCGTAACACATATATAATGAAGAACATATGGATGTTATGCGTACAAGAGTTGTTGTCGATCGAGATCGTCAAGCCGCACATATATTATTGGTACCTGATTACTTTGCCGATAATTGTCTTTATAATGATGCGACATTCGAACGTTGTTTCCGTCTAAATAAGGTTGTATATTTACCTATCAGTAATGCTTTAGAGCCTCATTATGATTAGTTTAAGCAAAAACCTGATGCTAGAGGTAGAATAGGCTTTAGTGGTATACAAAAATATGTCGTTGCGCTTAGATATTTAAGATACGGTATAGCATTTGATGCATTAGATGAGTACTTAAAGGTATATGAGTGGATCGTAGATGATTTTGTAGATTGATTTTGTGCATGTGTGTATGAGGTTTATCATGAAGAATATATGTTACATCCTAAATTTTCAACACCGAAAAAAGAAAAATTCTTTACACTTTCAAAAATAATACTAATATTACTTATTGTTGAAATTCTTAGTACATTAAAATCTTTTGAGTACAGATGAGTGTCTCAAATAATAAAAATCATAATGATGCCATAATCGATACATCACATACATAACATCGTAAAGACTTAACGGTCATGAATATTATTTGCATGTCTTCTCTTCATTCACTCAGCATTATATTCAAGTCTCCAGCAGTCTAAACATCGCTACCCGTAATGCATATACAATGAGTGGGTTAGGTTGAGAAACCTAGTGTGATACATAGGGTTTTCATCCAACAATGTGATATATATCTATCTATATATATATATATATATATATATATATATATATATATATATATATATATATACATATATATATATATATATATATGTGTGTGTGTGTGTTAGGATCACTACTAGCCCAACCATGATCAACATAGAAGAACAATGGGGATCCATTTTCTAAAACCAATTGGTGATAGAAGGGATTATCAATTGCCTTATATCCTAGCATATAGTTTCTCTTTTAACTGACGTAGGATTGGGTTTGTATCCCAACAATCCTCCTCTCAAACCCAAGCTCTGCCTTTGGCCTCCCCTTCAAAGACTATTCATCAGATCCAACCCTTTTTCATACCGTTGATACTCTCAAGACATGCTCACCTGACCTAGGGCCATCAAGAAGACTTTCGATACAAGACTTCAGGATCAAATTTGTTGGACCAGGAATTACTGAGGAAAACCATATCATTTGGGCTACGACTGTATCTCTGATACCACTTGTTAGGAAGTAAAGCGGATAACTAGAAAAAAACTACAAGCACACAAGACACAGTACTTATGTGGTTCGGTCAACGTGACTTACGTCCACGGGCAGGAGAAGAGTATTCTTTTATTTCAGAACTCTCAAACAGAGGTTACAAGTACAATTACACATAGATTCTCCTATCACTCTAGAATTCAAGATACAAAATGACATAGCATGCATCCCTATTTATACTTTAGGGATCAAACCTAAAACCTTAATGGGCCAAGCCCATTGGCCCATAGGCCCATGAATGGAGGCAACCAATTATATTCCGCCATGCAACATCTTATGGAACATTCTTGAGCATCATAAAGGACTTTATAGTATACTTGGCTCATCAAGGACCAAGATGGTCCAACTTGCACCATGACAACGCAACAAGTGTATGAATGGCACAACAGGCTTCAAACAAGAACATCAAGATTGGAGTAACAACAAAACCTTGGTGCAACAAGAACATACATGGTAAAAAAAGGGCATGCATGGCGCAAGAGCATACTTCATGGCTCAACAAGAGTACATCATGGCGCAAGAGGGATCCTCATGGCGCAAGAGGAACCACTCATGGTTCAATAGGGAGAATAATGGCGCAAGAAGGAATACCTTGGCGCAATAGCATCCTTCTTGGCCCATCCCTTCAAAATATGACACAACAAGGTTCCCTTGATGCTCCATATCACTCCCACGTGCTCCAAACCTCTTCCAGTTGCTCTAAACCCCCTTCTATATGATTCGTTCCTTTGGCACTTGATCTGCGCCTTTGTCAGACGATCTATTCCTTTCTTACATGATCCGGTGCTCCATTCAGTTCCATGTGCTCAAAATGCTGCATGAACATGATCCAAATGCCCGAGTCACATTGAACAATATAGAGGCTTTAGCAACTTGAGAAGACACTTACACTAAGGAGCCTCAATCGTATAAAGAGTTTATGGCGAGTAAAGAAGTAAATGAATAGTTTATGGCCATGAATGAAGAAATGCAATCTTTAGAGAAGAATGAAACATGGGATCTTGTTCCATTGCCAAAGGGAGCAAAGCCAGTAGGATGCATATGTATCTTTAAGAAGAAGGAAGGGATACTAGGAGTTGAACCAGCTTGGTTCAAGGCAAGATTGATGGAAAAAGGGTTTTCTCAGAAAGAAGTAATTGATTATCACGAGGTGCTCTCACCGGTTGTGAAGCACAAGACCATTCGAGTTCTTTTGACCATGGTGAGTGCATTTGATCAGGAGCTTGAACAGCTTGATGTGAAAACTAAATTTTTTCATGGAAACTTAGAAGAAAATATTTATATGTCCAATCCAAAAGGGTACCTTGATTCTAAGAAAGATCATGTATGTTTGCTGAAGAAATCCATGTATGGTTTGAAGTAGTCTCCAAGAAAATGGTACAAGAGACTTGATTCATTCATGATCTTAATGGCTACACTCAGAACCATTTTTACAATTGTGCTGACTCAAAGGAATTATCACCAGATTCCTACATATATACGTTGCTATGTGTTGATGATATGCAAATCGCAGCCAAGGACATGGCTGGAATAAATGAATTTAAGGCGACCCTGAATAATGAGTTTGAAATGAAGGATTTAGGAGCAACAAAGAAGGTACTTGGAATGGAGATACTAAGAGATAGAAAAAGAAGGGTGGTTGTGTATTTTTCAATAGAAGTACATTGAGAAAGTTCTGCAATCCTTTAATTGTGATCAGTCCAAGCCAGTTGAAACTCCATTGGTGGCTTACTATAAACTTGGTCTAAACACTATACCTACTACTAATAAAGAAATGAAGTACATGAGCAGGTTTCCATACTCAAGTGTTGTTGGAAGTCTCATGTTTGATATGGTTTGTAATAGACCTGATTTGGCTCATGATGTTAGTGTGGTTAGCATGTTTTTGAGTAATCCAAGTAAGACTCGTTGGGAAGCTGTAAAGTGGATCTTGAGATACTTGAAGGGAACGACTAATGTTTTCTTGGTGTATGGAGCTAATACAAAGAGTCACCAAGTGGGATATGCTGACTCTGATTATGGTGGTGATTTGTTGAAGCGCAGGTCACGAACATGCTACATACTCACTTTATTCAAATGTTCCATCAATTGGAATTCAACGTTACAAGATACAGTTTCTTTGTCTACAACTGAATCCGACTACATGTCCATGACAGAAGGAATAAATGATGAGAGATTGTTGCAAGGTCTTATACAGAGTCTTGGTCTAAAGGTGGAGAAGCGTGTTTTGTATTGTGACGGTCAACATGCTCTGAATCTTGGCCGCATACACACAAAACCCTTGATTGTGTGGCCTTACACTCTAATATAGGGCCATACACCCCCTTATGTGCAACCATAAGTGTTGGTAATACTAAATTCTAAGTGTTTTTATGTCCCTAAGGCGTGTCCCTATCACCATTAGTCGTTAATAACATTAAATGTAATCATATATGTGTAATTATATGTTAAATAGGATTCATTTGTGCTCAAGACTCCAATTGACACCCAACAATCCTATATCGATCTTTCGTTCAAGTTACACAATACAAGTGAGTTCATACCCCTTAACCTATCTTTTAAATGATTTTAAATGCTTTTATGGGGGAATACAAGTTGAAACATTGTAGTTATTATATCAATCACATGTGATTAATAACTAGAACGAACAGATAGGCCTTCATATACTTTCAAACTATGTTATCAAACATCGTTTTCAAAACTCCTT